AGACTTGGATTGTACGGAGCCCTGCTGGTGACATCCCGTATAAATAAAAATAACGCGTGGCCACGACTTAGTAATGTGTGGGAACGAGATAATTAAGTCACGGCCACAACTTAGTAAGGTGCGGAGCCCCGCTGGTGACATCCTGTATAAATAAAAATAATGCGTGGCCACCACTTAGTAAGGTGTGGGAATGAGATGATCAAGTCGTGGCCATGACTTAGTAAAGCGTAGAAACAAGATAATTAAGTCATGACCACGACTTAGTAAGGCATAGACAGAAGATAATTAAGTCATGGCCATGACTTAGTAAGGTGTGGGAACAAGATCTTAATGCGTGGCCAGGACTTAGTAAGGCATGGGAACAAGATCCTACTGCATGGCCTTGTGAAGTATGCATTCATGCATTCTCATGAGGCATGATCTCATTCTCATGCCTTAGTAGGTCGTGGCCACAACTTAATTATCTCATTCCTGCACCTTACTAAGTCATGGCCACGACTTAATCATCTCATTCCCATGCCTTACTAAGTCGTGGCCATGCATTAAGATCTTGTTCCCACGCATTAATAAGTTGTGGCCAAGCATTATTTTTATTTATACAGGATGTCATCATCAGGGCTCCGCAGTAAGGTGTGGGACCTAGATCATGCCATCTTAAGCTGTGGTCAAGGCTTAATTATCTCATTCCTATGCCTTACTATATGAAGCCCCGCTGCTGAAATCCTTTAAAAATAAAAATAATGAGTGGGAATGAGATAATTAAGTTGTGGCCACAACTTAGTAAGGCGTGGGAATTAGATGATTAAGTTGTGGCCATGACTTAGTAAGGAATGGGAATGAGATAATTCAGTCATTGCCACAACTTAGTAAGGCGTGGGAATGAGATAATTAAGTTGTGGCCCTGACCTAGTAAGGCATGCAAATGAAATAATTAAGTCATGGCCACGACTTAGTAAGGCATTGGAATGAGATGATTAAGTTGTGGCCATGAATTAGTAAGGCATGCAAATGAAATAATCAAGTCATGACCATGACTTAGTAAGGTGCAGGAATGAGATAATTAAGTTGTGGCCACGACCTACTAAGGCATGAGAATGAGATCATGCCTCATGAGAATGCATGAATGCATACTTCACAAGGCCATGCAGTAGGATCTTGTTCCCATGCCTTACTAAGTCATGGCCATGCATTAAGATCTTGTTCCCACACCTTACTAAGTCATGGCCATGACTTAATTATCTTCTGTCTATGCCTTACTAAGTTGTGGTCATGACTTAATTATCTTCTTTCTATGCCTTACTAAGTCATGGCCATGCATTGTTTTTATTTATACAGGATGTCACCAGCGGGCCTCCGTAGAACTTAACTCTCAGAGGTACTACTTGCTGGCCAGTGTCTGGACAAGGAATTTGCAGATGGCACCACAGTGGCTGGGTAAGATGCAAGAGACCGAAGCACAAGTGAGGTTGTATATATTGATCTGGACATAAGGTTTCATTAGGAGGAGACGGCTGTGGTGCAGAAGAGACATCTGACCTTCCTTCTGTCCAGAAGCAACAGAAGGAAGCAATACAGCAGGAGTTCCCAACTTTTTGCCCACACAACTAACCACGGAAGCTTTCATGGCCCACAAGAAGATTTGACCAGCCGGACTGTTTCAAATGCAAGCAAATGTAACAAAATAATCACTGTAGTCTATCAAATCTGACTTGACTGTATAATAATACAGCACATATAAAACACCAAAAATGTAGAATTGTCTGTCTGAAGCCATTTTCCATGACACTCTAAACAATCAAATAGTGAAGCGTTTTACACTGATTTGAACTTGCACTGAAAATATAAACATAACTAGCTAACTATGTCAGTTATGAATTTTAATAGATTACTGAGCTTGCCCAAAATGTGTAGGTATGAATATTTATCTCTAAAAACTGCATATGTTGTAAACATTTGTATGTATGTCTATTGTAATGAAGTTAAAACCAATAAAAATGACTGCTGAAGGACTTCTAGCAACATCACCATGGCCCACTGGGAAGTCGCAGCCCGTAGGTCGGAAATCCCTGCATTACAGGCTCTGCTGTGTCCACACTTTTGTGTGTGTGCTTGTGCTTTCCAAGCAATTAAAGATCAAATCCTTGGTTTTTGATGGTGGTGCTAAAGGAACTGAAAACCTTTCTAGAGCCATAAGTAACTCCCGCATTCCTAAACATGTCAATACACACATAATTATTAGAGATGGGACAATACAAAATTGTGTAACTGTATTGTGGCTCGCATATTATCATTGGGTTAATATATTAGTTTGGGGCAAGCATGCTAGATTGGCATGCACAATTATTATGATTGAGAGGTACATGTAGGATGTTCTAAGGAAAAATAGTCGCCAAAGAAAACTTTTTTTTTTACATTTATCACTATTTTACCATCATCATCTGTAGTTCATGAAATGACAAAAAAAGTGTAAAAGTGCAAATTAGAACCTAAAAAGAATGGAATTCATTGCACAGGATGACCAAGACATTGTATTTTGCTGCATATACCGTAATAATTCCAGTATCTTTATTTTATGTGAACTACTTTATTTATTGGCTGTGTTTTTTGGCCCAATTGACCAAAATTTCGGTTTCAGTTTTTGGCCAAGGATGTTCATTTCGGTGTGTGACTGACAGTTATAAAATGGATAGTTCCGCTCCTAAAATCTGATTGTAACATCCACAACATCTGTTGTAAAATCCACAACAAACACACACCTATGACCGCCTAACAGCAACTGAACTCTGTATTACTGCGCTACAGCACTAAAAAACCCTGTCGTTGATGGAATGATGTTTGACTCTCATGCTGCTCACATGGACCACTGAGTATCTTGAAAAAGTAAGAACCTGTTTTTTGTTTAAACTGAGGGGCTGGAGACTTACATTCTTAACTAGAACTAGGCTGGCCAGCTAGCTAACAGGCTAAAAGATAGCCAACAGCCTAAACACCTCCATCATTGATATCACAGGCTTGAATTAAAGTACTTTCAATATGATTAACTGTAGTTAATCGGCAGTATAAAAGTCTAAAAAATGTCACTTGAATGTCCTAGACACTTTAAATGTCAGTCAAAAGTTGAGTCAAACCCAGGCTGAATCCCAAACGGCTCTGTATTCCCTTAATAGTGTGCTAGCTATGAAAGTTTTGAAATTCTAGACTCTGCAGCCAAATAATGCATCATTCCCCCAAGTGACTATTTCTTAGCTATATTTTGCACCGTTGTAGTGTAGTGCACTATGTAGGGAGCAAGGAGCCATTAAATATTTAGCCCCAGTAAGAGAAGAGGAGCGCCGCTGGATTGGTGTAAATAAGACTCGTGGTGGTAATTTGGTGACCAAAAAGTCCTTATAAAGCGAAAGTGTTTGCATTAAACGGTGCTGTGTTATCATTTGTTCATTATTATACGACAAAAAGTTCAAAAACCCATGATATGACTGCAATATACAGCGATGGGCGACCGAACATTCTCCTCATTTAGCGGTCCATGTTTGCTTGGCGACAATACCATGCTCTAAACAAACTACATTTCTTGGCGGAATACCTGTTTATGTTGATTATTAATAACAAATTATTATTATTGCCTAAGAACACCCTATCCGTAATAAAATCGCAGGCCACTCATGGCTTACTGCTTTATTATACTTGATTTCAGAAGAAACAATGGATGAGCCAGTGTCTACAAACATTTGGATCTATGGTCCAATGCTGGTTTCAATGCTATTCCCGTGCATGCTTACTTCTATATCTGTTTTTTTCTTTGAGCATCTAAATTGCTCATTGTTCTTCCACAACATCACAGAGTTTATTTATGCCTTCTGTCTATAAAAGAAAGCAGTGAATTTTAAGGTTAAAACTAAGAGTATCATTTCACTTATATGGCTAATTTTGTCATTCAGAGTGGTTTGGTGAGAAAAGAACCTTTAAAATCCCCCTCACAGGAAGTTATTACATGAAATGGTTGTGAGCACTCAGAGACATTGTTTTACATTAGTTTTGAGATTGATTCATGGCTAAGGGGTAAATGCTGGGCATTGTGTCCCCAAAGAAAACTTGTTTCAGATTTACCACTGTTTTATTATTATGTACATTACATAGAAAAAAAAACATTTAGGTTCACTGGTCATTTTGAATAGTAAATAAAATGGATATATTTGTGTTGCAGACAACATGACAGCCTAGTTCCTCTAACAAGATTTTAGAGTTAGTATGTTTCTCTAAAATGAACCACATCTCACGAAACTACTCTGAATAGCTCTGTATTCGATTAAATGATTGCAGAAATTTTGAAAAACTGGTGGAGTTCCCTTTGAAAGCCACTACAGCAACATTGGCGGCCAAAGAATCCAAATTAAAATGGCACAATGAGTCAAAAAGCGCAAACAAACACAAATAAAATAAATACAGTAATGTATGTTTGATCTTCAATCTCTTTTTTGCTTCGACTAAATTGTAAATATAGTTTACATGTAAAAACATGCAACCCACACACGAAAGACATCATTTTTGTGTAAATTAACAGTGCCATCAGCTGGCCACTGAGCTATATCTCAACCACGGCCATGACACAGCTTGGATTTAACATACATTAATACATCTATTTCACTAAATACATTGAAAAGTAACAGAATAAAATTCATATAAAAAGGGGTTTTTGCTTTTATTCCTAAGGTGTTTTGTCTGGCCATGCTGGACTGTATGAGTATAGTTCTAGGACTTAAACTGAATTATGATCAAAAATAAACAGAAACATTTAAAAAAAAAGCCTGTTTAGTTCCCACTTTCATGAGTATTTCAAGTTCAGATTCAACAGTATTCTACTTAATACAATCATATGCACTGTATTAGTGCTTTTATTCTGCTTTTTAATATAAAAAAATCATGCTTTGGTTTCTGTTAAAGCTGTCCAATAATGTTCGTATATGATTAGATTCAAATATGCAGGTCCAAACATTACTTACCAGAATCATGCAGGGTCAAGCGAAGCAGTCCATGATTAACTTTCACCTCAAAAACAACCGAAAACCAGCGTCCACTTTTATATTCCTCGTTAGACACCATGGCCTACAAAAACCTGTTCAAAGAACACACTAAATCAAGTCACTTTAACATTTCACTACGTAGAACTTAGATGCTGCATGTGAAATACTGAAGGCATTGCGGCCCGCGGAGCAGGTGAACGAAAGCCCTCTCTCCAAATCCCAGGACATCACTAATGCACACAGCTCACATGGTCAGGGGAACGGAGACGGGGCGGAGGGAGTGGGGACGACATCCTCACCACTGAGATTTAAGGCGTTCCCTCAAGCTTGCATCAACTGTAGAACCGGCAAGTCAACACTATGAGAGAAAACAAAGCCTCTGCTGAGAGCTGTGGTAGAAAGTCTAATGATCATGATGTCATACTTCCCATGCACTCAGAACCAGCTTCAGGAGAACATGTCATTTAAATAACATGCAAAACAGAACTCTGGCCCAGAACTGCATGTATTGTGTTCCTCCTAAAGCTGTTCATTATAGTCTTCCAGAGAGCTGAACTGAAGCCTTGATATGCAAAACCACCTTAACAGCGGGAGACAACAGCTCCAACTGTATTGATCGGGGAGAGAGATGCTACTGATTCTGCCCCATCAGTAAGATGACTCCTCTCTCTCTCTCTCTCTCTCTCTCTCTCTCTTCTTTTTCTTCCTCTCTCTGCCTCTCTCTCTACCTCTTTTTCTCCTTCTATCTCTGCCTTTCTCTCTTTATGTCTCTTTTTCTTTTTCTTCCTCTCTCTGCCTCTTTACCTTTTTTCTCCTTCTCTTTCTGCCTCTTTATCTGTCTCTCTCTCATTTCTTTTTGTTTTCTTCCTCTCTCTTTACCTCTTTTTTCTCCTACTCTCTCTGCCTCTTCCTCTCTTTATCTCTTTTCTTCCTTTTTCTTCTCTCTCTGCACCTCTTTTTCTCCTACTCTCTGCTTCTTCCTCTCTTTATGTGTCTCTCTTCTTTTTCTTCCTCTCTCTGCCTCTCTTTACCTATTTTTTCGCCTTCTCTTTCTGCCTTTCTCTCTTTATCTGTCTTATTTCTTTTTTTTCTTCCTCTCTTTACCCCTTTCTATCTATCTATTACGCCTCTCTCACTCTTTCTCTCTCTCCGTTCTGATAAACATCATCATAAACACACGCTACAGCACCTTCATATGTAAAGCACGCATGCGCAAACCATAATAAAAGATTCAGTTTGATGCCACAGACTCTCAGTTGCGAATCAGAAGAAACTTCGGTGGATTAAAATGCAGCCTAATCATCATTTATTAAAGAACACCATCCCCGCAGTCAAGATGCACCAACATTTAGCATGAATAATTTAGTTGGTGGCAGGAAAAACCACCAGAAACGGAGCTTTTGCGACTGAAGAGCAGCCATCGCTACACAGCAGGTCCGCTTATTAACGCTTTATTGGCCTGGCTACTGGAGGTAACGCTGGCAATACGGCTGTGTGGAGAAGTTCTCAGTCGTTTTCATCCCTCTCATAAACACTGAGCCAACATGAAAGGAGAGAAAACTGCCCCCACACAACAGCGCCGCCCTCGCAGGTTACGTTTGTTTACGTTTTCATTCGGTTTCAATCGACGGATTTCATCAGGAGGGCGTAATTTCTTTCCCACCTGTACTCGGACAAGCCCCGCCCCTCAGGCGCTCTGATTGGCTAATAGCGCAAACGCACAAGCAACCGGGCCTTATTAAACTTCCAGCCCACATTTAGAACAGAAGTGTTCATTTTGCACAAAATATCCAAGAAAAATGGACCATATATGTTTTGAATATTACTATTGTAAAGTATTTTGGAAAGATTTATCCAATATTTTAAAAGTTAATCTGGTTACAGTGTAGACATAAACCTTAGAGCTGTGATTATTGGTTTCAACTGTAGTGCGTCTTCTGTTGCTATTGTTTTTTTGGTTTCTTTGGTTGATGCTATTGACTACTTATGCCTGTAGCCTATCTTTAATATAGATGTCCTTTATTGTAATGTTATATATTGTATTATGTTATATAATGAGAGGATCAGACAGTTAATAATTTATAAAAATACAGATAATTAATTCATTTCTGTGAAGCACTTTGTAGCTCTGTCTTAGAAAAGTGCTATATAAATAAAGTTTACTTACTCACACAGCAGTGCTGCTGTAGTTTTTAAACACTGTCCACTCACTGTCCAATCTATTAGACACTCCTTCCTTGTTGGTTCACCTTGTAGACAGTTTGTGTTGGTCATCCTCTAGTCCTTCATCAGTGGTCACAAGACGCTGCCCACAGGACGCTGTTGGCTGGATATTTTTGGTTCTCAGTCCAGCAGCACTGCTGTGTCTGATCCACTCGTGCTAGCACAACACACACTAACACGCCACCACCTGCTAAGTGTCACTCCAGTGTTGAGAATGATTCACCACCCAAATAATACCCTGCTTTGTTGTGGTCCTGTGGGGTCCTGACCATTGAAAAACAAGGTGACAAAGTATGCAGAGAAACTACAGTCTGTAATTGTAGAGCTACAATGTGCTCCTATATGGTAAATGGAGCTGATAAAATGATGAAAATGACAATGAGTGTAGACACAAGGAGGTGGTTTTAATGTTATGACTAAAATAAGAACTTCTAGCCAATCCTAGTCCAGGAGGCCGCTGCTCGCAGCCAATCCCAGCGCAGGAGGGCGGGTCCTGTCGGAATACAAGCGGGGAAAGAAACTTAACGCCGTTTGAAGGCTGCGAGCCGTGTGCAAAAGCGTGAGCGGGAGGGGCTGCGAGCGTGCCGTGTGCAAACCGCGTGTGGCGCAGCGCGGAGAGGAGGAACCGAACATAAACAGCAACGACTCACGTAGCCGAGGTGAGTGCCTTTAAAAGGACGAAAATGCGAAAAATAACACGGTGCACACGGTGCGCGACACCGTCGCCCGGTCCGAGGGGGTCGGCGTTCTCTTAAAACAGCCGAGAAATGGCAAACTGAGCCGAACCGCTGTGGCGGAATGTGTCGAGAAGGTAAACATGTGAATTTTTTCGGCCTACTGCGTTTTTTTTACTCGCTCCGAGGCGGGAAAAGCGGGAAAAAAGTCCCTGAGCGGAGTCAGATAAAACGTCTCTGTCGGTTTATGAGCCCTTAAACGTAAATCCCAGATTTTAAAGAAGGGCGAGTAGCTGAAGAATAGATTTAAAATGTCGCCGTGGGACTGGCTCTGTTTACTGGGGTCCGTGGGTGGAAACTCTGCGGGGAACCGAAAGACAACTGAACGCGGTGAGTCGACGAGCGGAGAAGGAGAGGAAATGTTAGAAAACGTATATTTAACCTTTTTTTCTTTGCTAAAGTGAGGGCTTTCCGTCATTACAAAAGGCCATACTCATCCCTCTGCTGAAAAAAAGAACAAAAACAACACGAGGCTGAAGTCAGCGTCCAATTCGCCAGCTTCTAGTTCGAATTTTCCCGTTCCACCTTAAATGGTGCATCTGTTACATTCTGGCGCCTCAGACCTTTTAAGGTGGAACGGGCAAATTCGAACAAGAAGCTGGTGAATTGTAAGCTAACTTCAGCCTCGTTTGAGCGGTGACCTCAACGGACTGGCACTTGAGCTAACTGGTTAGCTTAGTTAGCTGCTCTCAGTTTCCAAAGACACATGCTGTCAGTGTAGCTGGCTGAGCTAATCAAGTGAGAGTGAGGAATAGCTTTTTGTTTATATTGGGGCAGAAATGTCTTTTACTGTTTTGTTGTTATAACAGTTATAATGATTATAGTTGTTATAATGTTATAACAGTATTATAATATGTGGAGAAAAATATATAGCTATTTAGTAATCAAGGTTTTCCACAATTATGACTTAGTATCTCAAAATTACTTACTATCTCATAATGATGAGAACTTTCTCATCATTATGAGATGCCAAGTTGTGATTGGCAGTCATTATTATGAGATGCTAAGTCATAGTTAAGAGATTGAATCTTATTATAATGAGATACTAAGTCGTAATTGAGAAGTCATAATCATGAGATTGTAGGTCATAGTAATGATATGGTAAGTTATTGTTATAAGATGATAAGTCATGATAATGAGATACTGAGTCATAATTATGGAAAACGACTTACTAAAGGGTTGTTTATTTTTTTCCGGTAGTGGAAACAGCCTTTTATGGAGAATAAGAAGCCTGACATGGAAAACCTCACTCACATCATGCTCCTTTGCATGCTAGCTAAAGCCCTGCCTGTGGTCTGAAATGATGTTTTTGTAAGTTAACTTGCACTTCGTAATAGATTTGTATGTGGTCATGGCATGAACATGACAAAGACTCACGTTTTCAAGTCTTCTAAAGGCATTAAAAACCTCAGTGCTGTATTACTTTGACACTTCTTCAGTGGTTAATTGACATGTGCTTGCACCCCTATCTTTCCCACTCACTTATTTCTCCTGTTCAGTGGTCATATCGCTTGGAAAACACTTGGCCCTCAGCCCTTAAATGTTCCTGATACCTGGAAACATTAATGACTGAGGTTTGGCACATATGGTCAAACGTGCACTACTTTCCTATACTAAGGCAGTTCATTTCTGCAGATGGTGTGTCAGCAGGTCCATGTGCCTGCCCTGCCCTGCCCTGTCCTGTCCCCTGAGGACATTTAGGGCTTTTTTTTCCCAGCTTCCTCATTTTTTCAGAAGGTCTTTCCTACTACAGGTAGGTTATAACGTAGAATTCTTCTTCAGCAGCTTTAGGTTGCAGTTTGAGGAGATGAGCAGCAACGAGTGCTTTGGGTGCGGCCGTACTGGCCACTGGATCAAGAACTGTCCGAACGCTGGCCGTGGACGTGGCAAAGGTCGTGGAAGGGGAAAAGGTGAAAAGTTGGAACTGTAATAGCTGTTTAGTCCTGTATTAGTGTTTCTGGTCTGTTCTGTTGATTTAACACATTGTTTGGTTCCTGTGTAGATCTTTTCTGCTACCGTTGTGGGGAGCCAGGCCATGTTGCAAGAGACTGTGAAAGGACTGAGGATGGTAAGGAATCCCGTGTGGTGTATCTGCAGTTATTTTTGATTTATTGCTTATGTATTACTAGTTTAAAAGCATGTCAGTTTGACTTGTATGCATTTTAGTAACTTTTTAATTAGCAACTTTAAAAGTTTATGGCAATTATTTTGCAGCCTGCTACAATTGTGGAAGGGGTGGCCACATCTCCAGAGACTGCAAGGAGCCTAAAAAGGAGAGGGAGCAGGTGTGTTACAACTGTGGCAAGGCTGGCCATGTGGCCCGGGACTGTGATCATGCCAACGAGCAGAAGTGCTACTCTTGTGGGGGCTTTGGACACATCCAAAAAGGCTGTGAAAAAGTCAAGTGCTACAGGTAAATGTGCTGCTTAATGAGGCTTACTAACCTTCCTAACTCAAAGGAATTGTGGGTGCACTTCTGTTTCCACATGTCTTATGGTAACAAACAAAGTAATAAACAAAACAATTTGTCTTCATTTCTATTATACTAAATAATAAGGCTTAGATTTTGGACAAAAGGACACAAAAGAGGTATATCAGCTATATATATATATATAAAATATTTATTTATTTACATTTAGAGCATTTAGCAGACGCTCTTATCCAGAGCGACTTACAAAAAGTGCTTTGTCTATCCAGAGAAAGTATCTTTGCTAGTTACCAATAGGTTAGAGAGAAAGCCAGTCCTGAGCTCAGGACTCATATATGTGTATGTGTGTGTATATATATAATATATAAGACTCTGTGAGTGATTTGTCTCTGTTTAAGGCATATTGTTCTTCTAAATACTGTGCATTCCCTCATCTATTGTGTGTCTCCTTTTAGGTGTGGTGAGATCGGCCACGTTGCTGTTCAGTGCAGTAAGGCAAGCGAAATCAACTGCTACAACTGCGGCAAATCCGGGCACCTGGCAAAAGAATGCACCATCGAGGCCACCGCTTAATCCCGTTTTCCTGGTCGCCCCTCCTTTTTCTGATTGATGGTTGTATTATTTTCTCTGAATCCTCTTCACTGGCCAAAGGTTGGCAGATAGAGGCTAGTCCCAGGCCAGTGAGCTCTTGACATGTAAAAGGAGGAAAGGGGTGGAAAAAGAAAACAAAATTTCCACTTTCTGCATTTAATACAAAAAAATGTTTATGTTTAGTTTGGTAGAGGTGTTATGTATAATGCTTTGTTAAAGAACCCCCTTTCCATGCCACTGGTGAACAGGGATGAATGAGTTGAGTGGGAAATGATGTCGACTCGGCCTCTCCGGGCTCGTCGAGCGGAGCCTCAGCGAGTGACCGGGGAGGAAAAAACAAAAATAAGAAGTGTGAACTTCTGGGTATGATTTGCTTTTTGTTTTATCAATGGGGAAGAGTTAGGCTAAGAGTGATTGACCTGGAAAAAAAGCAGTACAGGACTCAGCGGTCAGATCTGTCCGGGCCCAACCAGCAGTACGCAGCTACGTGGAGAAAACTGTAACAAAAAGTACTATTGACGAGCAAGTTTACAGCACATTATGAGGAGAAACAAGAAACAATTTCAGAAAACTACATTCTTTGTGTAAAGTAAGTTGTTGGACTGTGCGGAGCAGCTAAGTTGTTGAAATAATCAAGTGTATGATCCCATGATTGCAGCGCAGTTCTGGTCATTTTACCCAAGGAGCAAAGGAGAAAAGAAAAAAAAGCTGAAATGTAACAGAAGTAGGGCGGAATAAATAAGATTCGGAGTCAGGAGAATGTTTTCACAGAAATCAAAATGTTATTTTTGTACAATATCACTTAGACTACTGTAAAAAAATATCATTTGCTTGTACTCAGTTTTTAAGTCGGAAGGTAAATGCAACTGAAGTCCTAGAACATAGAAATGTAATTTTAAACTATCAATAAAGCTGGAGGAGGAAGGGGAGTGAGACTGAAGCTTCTTTTCTGAGTTGCCTCTTTTGAACCCGCTGCTAAAAATATCCAAAACTACTTTGATCTGTTTCACATCAAACGGTTCTGTTGTCTCCAACTTGTCAAATGCAGAGATGATTATTGCAGATGCAGTTTTTTTTAACCTAACCACACATGCAGAAATACTTTCAATGCAAATGTAAGATGTGATCAGCACTTTGATAAAGTGACAAACACAGGAAGAACTTTAAGGTGCTGATGCTGCACACAAAAGACTTCAAAATAATAGTTCAGTAGTGAAGTTTATAGCTTAAAGTTAAGCTATAAAACCATATGAGTGTCTTACACATGCTTAAAAAAGGGGTCACAAAGGGTTCTTTGAGCAATGCATTGGAGAACCACTTTTAGTGCCCTGAAAGACATTTTTGAAAGAGATGTGATTTTTAAGAACCTTCACATACTGTAAGGGTTCTTCATAGAGCCTTTACCTTGGAGGTTCTTTCAACTTAGGTTCCTCACTCTAAACATCTCATTTATAAAAATGGTTCTCTAAAGAGACCGTCCTCTGAAATGTTTTCAAGGGAACCAAAAGTGGTTATTCTATGGCAGAGTGTAAAGAACCTTAGACTTGTGCTATCTAATATTGAGAACCATGCAGTTAAATGTTTTTCAAGGGAACCAAAAACGGTTCTTCTATGGCAGAGTGTAAAGAACCTCAGACTTACAGTATGTAATATAAAGAACCATCCACAGAAATGTTTTTAAGGGAACCAAAAATGGTTATTCTATGGCAGAGTCTAAAGAACCTTAGACTTGCGGTATCAAATAAAAAGAACCATCCACTGAAATGTTTGTCAAGGGAACCAAAAGTGGTTATTCTATGGCAGAGTGCGAAGAACCTTAAGACTTACATTATCTAATATAAAGAACCATCCTCTAAAATGTTTTCAAGGGAACCAAAAGTGGTTATACTACGGCAGAGTGCGAAGAACCTTAGACCTTTAGTATCTAAAAGCCTTTTTGCCATAGTCACAGTTAATTGCTTTAAAATGCTCATATTGACCTACAAAGATGTTTTTACTTTCATGTACAAAACTGCTGCCCTGAGGGCATCAATACTGACATGCTGTTCTAAACGTATCTTGATCGGTTCTTGGCGCTTCTTTCCTTCAAAAGAGAGCAAACAGAGATTGCGCTGTGGTAGAAGCTGAGGGAACAGTCCTTTTGAAAGTTAGGATCAATTTCAGTGACGGGCCTTCCCTATGACTGCCTCGTATAAATAGCCCACCTATAAAAAGCTTCTGGCCTCTGATGTTCCTTCTGGGGCGACAAGGCCACACAGCATAGAGGCAATTTAGAAGAATAAAAAAGCAGATTGTCTTAAATTTAACTAAGCATTATAATAAACATTAAGCCTTAAAGGTAACTAATTTGTATATGTTTGAATTGATGGGCTCTTAATTACAGTATAAACATTAATTTCATTTATTCATCCATCTTTTTCTTCTTTTTCTCAAAATTAGACATATTGGATTAGAGTCACATTTCAGATGTAAAACAAAACCTCACACTGCCTCTAGACTGACCGGCTACACTGACATGCTGGGACAGTTTATTACAGTATTTGGTCTGTCTGAGCTAAAGGACACTTAAACTAATGGTTCCTACATAAAACTGACCTCTGGACTGGACAAAATAATCTAGTCTTAATCTGTCAATCAATGCTTTTGTCCTTAAACAAGACATACATGTTATGAAAAATAGATGTCACAAAAATGTCAGACATTTCACTTTCTGGTAATGTAGACACTCTTACAAAACCAATTTCATCTTTTAAAACAAATTGAGATTTACACCGATCAGGCATAACAGTAAGACCACCTCCTTGTTTCTACGCTCATTGTCCATTTTATCAGCTCCACTTACTATATAGGTGCACTTTGTAGTTCTACAATTACAGACTGTAGTCCATCTGTTTCTCTGCATACTTTGTTAGCCCCCTTTTACCCTGTTCTTCAGTGCTCAGGACCCCCATGGACCCTCACAGAGCAGGTACTATTTGGGTGGTGGATCATTCTCTGCACTGCAGTAACACTGACATGGTGTGTTGCACTGGTCTGAGTGGATCAGACACAGCAGTACTACTGGAGTTTTTAAACACTGTGTCCACTCACTGTCCACTCTATTAGACGCACCTACCTTGTCAGTCCACCTTGTAGATGTAAAGTCAGAGACAATAGCTCATCTGCTGCTGCACAGTTTGTGTTGGTCATCCTCTAGTCCTTCATCAGTGGTCACAGGACGCTGTTGGCTGGATATTTTTGGTTGGTGGACTATTCTCAGTCCAGCAGCGACACTGAGGTGTTTAAAAACTCCAGCAGCACTGCTGTGTCTGATCCACTCAGACCAGCGCAACACGCACCAACACACCACCAGTGTTACTGCAGTGCTGAGAATGATCCCCCACCCAAATAGTACCTGCTCTGTGAGGGTCCATGGGGGTCCTGACCACTGAAGAACAGGGTAAAAGGGGGCTAACAAAGTATGCAGAGAAACAGATGAACTACAGTCTGTAACTGTAGAACTACAAAGTGCACCTATATAGTAAGTGGAGCTGATAAAATGGAGAATGAGTGTAGAAACAAGGAAGTGGCCATAATGTTATGCCTGATCAGTGTAAACTGTTTGTGTTTTTTAAAAATCGTGGCTTCTTTTCATGTTTTGTCGGATAGAACCTTATAATTTCAAGCAGAAAGTGAGTTCTTAGGATTAGAAGGTTCTATCTGCATTTGACCTGTTCAAAAAAACTATAAATCTGATAGGAATTTAATGCGGCACATTTAGAACATGTTTAGGATGTCGCTCATTTTCATGTATAAAGAGACGTGTTCCATATATCAGTTCTGCTGTTTGGAATGCAAAATCTTTAAGGCTCAATATTTCAAAACTGCTCCGAATAGAACCTTATAATTCCAAGGGAACAAGCTGCTCTTTACATTGTGTGCAAATTTCATGTTGAATGGGCCAAAAGGAATGCTCCAAAATTGCTTGGAATAAAATCTCTATGTTAAATTGCATTGAAGGTAAGGAACGTTGAGATACTTGTTTGTTTGTTTTTTTTTTGGACAGCAACAATATTTAACCGAATATTACACAGAAGCCTGAACAATTTCATATAATTGAATTTTTTTCCAGTATTTTAGGTGACCACTGTTTATTAAAGAGTCATTCTTTTTGGGAGACTTGCTGTTTTTCTCAAAGTTCAGTCTTAAAAGTTGGTTGATCATTTTCTGAAGTAATCCAAACACATTCAGTGATGTTGAGATCTGGACTCTGGGACGGTCAGATCATTGTTCAGCTTCTTTGTTTGATATGTCTGTCTCGTTTTCTCAGTGAGGCTTCTTGACAGCTACACATCCTTTCAGACCCGTAGTGCTGAGTTTTCTTCTCACAAATAATTTGAAATTACAACCCCATTTCCAACAAAATTGGGACACTATGCAAAATGTAAATAAAAACAATGCAATTATGTGCAAATGTAGGCCCATTTTAAATTTGATTCCAATAACACATTCCAAAAAAGTTGGGACAGGGGCAACAAAGGGCTGGTAAAGTTGTGTGATGCTAAAAAAAACCACCTGGTGGTTAATTGGCAACAGGTCAATGACATGGTTGTGTATAAAAAGAGCATCTCAGAGAGGCTGAGTCTTTCAGAAGTAAAGATGATGGGGGATTCACCACTCTGTGAAAGACTACACGGGCAAATAGTAGAACTGTTCAAGAATAACAATTTTTAACGTAAAATAGCAAAGAATTTTTGCATCTGCGGAACATAATATCATTAAAAGATTCAGAGAAATCTCTGCAGTTCCACCTGAGGTCCTAAATATCACGGCCAGCAAATACTGTTTTTTGGCCTTGTCCCTTGCATTAAAAACCAACATGATTCTGTAGTGGAAATCACTGCATGGGCTTAGGAACACATCTGAAAACCATTGTCTGTGAAATCAGTTCTTCGCTGCATCCACAAGTTAAAACTCCTGAAGGCAAAGAAGAAACCATATAAAAACAGGATCCAGAAATGCTGCCTCCTTCTCTGGGCCCAAACTCATTTAAAATAAACTGAGGGGAAGTGAAACAGTGTCCTGTGGTCCAACGAATCAACATTTGAAATTTCTGAAGCTAAAATCCTATTTCAAACAAGAATAGGAAAACATTTCACTTTTAAAACTACAGCAGTTGGTCTCCTCAGTTCCCAAACACTTACAGAGTGTTGTTAAAAGAAGAGGTGATGAAACACAGTGGTAAACACGTCCCCGTCCTAACTTTTTAGAACATGTTGTTGGCATCAAATTCCAAATGGGCATATATTTCTCAATAAACAATAAAAAATCTCAATTTCAACATTGGATGTGTTGTCTTTGTAGTATTTTTCTTTAAAAATATGGTTTACATGATTTGCATATCATTGCATCCTATTTTTATTTACATTCTGCACAGTGTTCCAACTTTTTTGGAAATGGGGTTGTAAATAAATGAATGTTGTCTCTCATTTTGTACAGTGTGTAAGAGACAATGACAGTTCTGTGGCAACTATCTGTAAAGGAGGAAAACATTCAAAATTTTACTGAAGAGAACTGTTTCCGCACATGCGGGTTTACTGTGACTTTATGATCTTAGCGTTAAACTCATCTGATCACCTACATGATTTGCTCCACTAGCCCAGTGTTACTTGATCATGGACAGTTGTGTTAAGAGCCAAACAAAAAGGCCAATGAATTGCTTGAAAACTGAGACATGTCAGGAGATGACAGGCACATGTTTGTTACTGAAAGACACAAAGCTGGACTGATTCTGCATTAGCAAAAACATTCAAATCAACAAGAATGAACTGAGGGTAAGGGAATCGCTCTGCTCAACAGCTGGCTTTCAGGATATCTGAGATGGTTTTCATGGTATTCATTTCATCAATAAATAATTGAATGCCCTGCCTAAAGCATGCTATGTAGAGAATCTACTGAGTA